CTCGGGGCAGTCTTTGCAAGAGCACACTGAAGATCATCTTCCACAATAAGTCTGCTTCTATATTTAGATTTGATAACCAACAAGCTGGAAAGCTCTGTTTCACAAAGATATGTTGTTGGAAATGGAAGAAGGAGGTGCAACAGAGTCTCAGACAGAACAGGACATGACTGCAAACACTTGATCCAGAATTTTATAACTGGCATTGTAGAGAAATCAGTTCTCGCTGTACCACTGTTAATAAGTTCAATGAACTCTTGTGCTGTCTCAGGAACATCATCAACATTGATTAGGAATGGGCTTCTGGCAAGTGCAAATGGGGTGTCAAGTAGACTTGGAAAGTATGATGAAATTTTGTCTGCAAGCATGTGCAAGTGTTCTTTCACAGAAATTATCATTGTAATCCTTTTGTCTGGTTCAATGTCATGCTACTCAAAGAAAGCAGATGGAAATTTTATTTTCATCCAATTTTTTTGTGGGGGGGGGAGCCAAAGTTGAAGTTTCATTTGGAATGATTGGATCTTTTCAGACAAAACAAGGCATGTTGCATTTAGTCCTTGCAGTGATAAATTTAACTCATTCAAGATGGCAAAGATGTCAAACAAGTAAGCTATTTTCTGCAGTTCACTTTTATCGCTGAAAAGTGTTTTGAATCGCGGTCTTGCTCTCTGATTAAAAAACGTTTTGAGTTCATCATGAAGCTCAAAAACATGTTTTAAAACTTTCCTCTTGACAACCATCTCACTTCAGTGTGAAATAACAGAGCATTATTCGGTACATCCAACTCCGTTGCACAGTTGCAAAAACAGTCAACTGTTTAAAGTGCTCGCCTTTACAAAGTTGACAGAATTTATGATGCTTTTCATTACTTCTTTTAACTCTTGCGGCAGCATCTTCATTGCTAATATTTGCCAATGAATCATACAGTGAATTCTGATGACTTTTGGTGATTCATTCACCAAACGTTGAAATCCAGATCGACGTCCTAGCATAGCTGGAGCACCATCTGTGCAAACACCACAAATCTTTTCCCAAGAGATCTTATGCTCTTTCAGAAATGAACCAACTGTGTCAAATACATCATGTGCGGTAGTTGTCGTTTCAAGAGGTTTGCGAAAAAGAAACTCATCTCTAAAGTCGCCATCATTAATATACCTCACGTAAACCAGTAACTGTAAACAGTTTGCAACGTCTGTAGATTCATCAAGCTGGATGCCAAATATTGGAAGTAGAGCAGATTTAATCTCCTGGATTACCTGATAAGAATATCAGCAAACATGTCATGTATTCTTCTGTGGACAGTGTCATTAGATAAGGAAATTACACTCAATTTTGTCAGAAATTTGTCTCCGATCATATCTCGAACAATGTCTTTGGCCGCTGGCAACAGTAAATCCTCAGCAGTGGTGTGAGGTTTCATAGCTCTGGTGATTCGGAGTGCCACCAAATATGAAGCTTCAAGGGCGGCTACATTTCGTTTGTGGTGCTTGCCACCAGTGTCAAGTCTGGCTTTCTTGAGACCATCAGCTTTGCCTCTAAAATAGTTGGTATCCTTGCTGGCAAAACTCAGAAACTTGCTGTCAAAATGGCATTTTAGTTTATTTGGCTTCATAGATTTGTCTGATAGAACTTCATAACAAATAACATATTGCGGTTTCTCAATTCCTGCTGTAATTATTGAGGTAAAACCATTCTGTAAAAAATCTTTACTGTATTTTCGTAACGTTTTTCTCTACAGGATCCATTGTCATGGGATGGTTTGCTAATGAGAATAATATATAACACTAGCTTTAATACGAAAGATGATACATGGCATAGTTCAGTCAATACAGTTCATTAAAGTTTCCTATGATTTACTATTCTGTGTTGTTTTTTTAACATACCTGTTACTATCACAAGGGGGCAGTATTCACATCAACCACAGCTGACTATGAAAAGACCAATCAGCATCCAGATTAAGTTCCCATGGTACAGATTCTTTTTTGCAGTAGTTGATGATTTTACAGTACATTATTTAATATTTACCCAGTAATTATAATTCATGAAGTGTCATTTTACCTCCAATACTGCTGCTTTCAACATAGTAGCTGCTTTTAACACAGTAGCTACTCTCTACACATGTGCGACTGGTCCACATAAGTACATTATGGCGCCAGCCTTGTCACATACACCTGTATTTGTATGGGTGTATGTAATGGGGTTGGCGTGATGATATCATCATTCCGGGTACTCGAATGTGGGCTTATTTGCATGTGGGTGGACCCGCTGGATCAGAGGTCCTCAAACTTTTAAACAGGGGGCCAGTTCACTTTCCCTCAGACCTGTTGGATGGAGGGCCGAACTATAGTTAAAACAAAACAAAACAAAACTATGAACAAATTCCTATGCACACTGCACATATCTGTTTTTGAAGTAAAAAAACAAACAGGGCGAAAACACTCTGTGGGCCGGATAAATGTCCTAGGCGGGCCGCAAGTGGCCCGTGGGCTGTAGTTTGAGGATGCCTGCACCAGATAGAAGAGCAGTGTCTTGGTTCCTAAGTCCATCAGAAATATGTGTTTTCTGATGGTCTTAGGCGACCCCTGTGAAAGGGTCGTTCAACCCCCAAAGGAGTCGTGACCCATAGGTTGAAAACGGCTGATTTAGAAGGTTATTATCTAGAAAAGAGATTATTGGACTTGAAACAGGGCTGGGCACTAGGGGGGTAGACAGATTTGAGATGTATTTTGGAAGCACAGTTCACTAACATTAGAACAGATAGAATTTCTTAATGAAATAATTATATTGGATGCATGTCCATTATTTCATATACATTTTCTAAGCTTCTGCTTTCCTGGAATGCATAAACTTTTATAGCATAATTTGAAATAAATTTCCCTTAAAAGAAAATCTCAACCTCACTGCTATCAAGTTGATGCCGACTTATAGTAGCACTATAGGACAGGGTAGAACTGCCCCTGGGGGTCTGAGGGTGGTACGGTGTATGGGAGTAGAAAGCCTCATCTTTCTCTCAGCGTGGAGCCGGTGGTTTCAAACACAGCCAATCAAAAAACCTCTTTCCCAGTGGGTGCTCACATACTTAGTGTACAGATGCACCAGGTGGAGGAGGAGCTGACTCTTGCTGCCTTTTAGTTGTAGCCATATTCTAACAGTACTTCGTAATAAATAATAGCACAGTGGCAATGACAGCCAGCCGTAAGAGCTAGTGAGACCAAAAAGCTAACATGCAGTTTTTTTTACAGTGTAGCTTGCGTGTTCATCACTGAACTAGTACTTCTTCACTTATCAAGGAACATTTTTTAAAATCGTTTTATTAGGGGCTCATACAACTTATCACAATCCATACATCCATCAGTTGTGTAAAGCACATTTGTACATTCATTGTCCTCATCATTCTCGAAACATTTGCCCTCCACTTAAGCCCCTGGCATCAGTTCCTCATTT